ACTTTCTAAAACCATAAAATTTGTTAAGTAGCCACAGACAAGACTAAATTAAAATTTTCCTGTTTTATCTGGCCTAAACTCAGTGTCTGCAAACAAGCCAGAAATCGAACATTTTTAAATTGATCTACAGTGCACAACTAAAACGACAGAACAACTCTGACAGCCAAATTGATAGTCTACTATCATCCATGTAGCCAAAACACTAACAATCTTTTTGGGCCATTGAAACAGGAAGAAATTAGAGAAATCACATTTGTAATAGTTTCCATACTTTTTCAAGCAAACAGGCCGATCCCTTCGTGTTTGTTTTAAGTTCTCTTCGTGAATTTTCTTTCATATTTCGCTGTTAAGTATGTTCAGCAGCTGGAGGACATATCAAAAAGCTCGAAATACTGCCTAGGTTACATTTTGAAGGGCAAAGAGTGCTGAACGATGGGATGAAACTATAAATTGAACAAAAGGACGCCATCTTAAAAATTCAGCACTCAGGAGGGACTGGCAGTAGTAGCTGCCTTGTCCAAAAGATGACGAATTACCAAATAGATAAAAAACAAACAAACAAACCGGCTTATCAGCTACCTACTATAGTCCTATTTCTTCTTCATTTTTTACTTTTAGTTAAATTATGCTTCTTTCGTGTTGTACTCTTTTTTTGCGGAGTGACGGGGTGTGGTGAACAGGTGACCAATTGGCATTACTTTACTCAGTCTTCATTTGCTCTTCATTGACTTCACTTTGAGTAATCCAGTATAAGTCTTCACGTTTCTATGGACTCTTTATTGTATCACCTATTATTGCGCCAGTCTTCAATCACTGTCCACTTCCGAGGGTCCACTCGTCTCCTGTTAGTTCATGATGTACTTTTCATAATCCGGAGTGTTTCGCCCGAAGGGTACCTCTTTCAAGCATCAGGTGTAACAAAGGGTAGGGAAATCACAAGTTGAAGTATGTGAAAGGAGAGGAAAATCTTTCATTAAGTATTTTAAAGGGCCTTTTATCAAAATGCCTCGAATAAACGCGCCTTATGGCAATATTATTAACATGTAAATTCAGTTAAAGCTTACACGATAATGACTGGAAGACCTCCTTTCTTACCGATTTTTTTTCCTCAAGCAGATATGTGAAAAGGGTGCAATTTTTCAATGGAAGTTACACGAAAGTGGTACCTTTTGTCCAAAAAGTTATATATATATAAGGATGAGGGATTGGACCACGGGGCGAAGCCTCTCCGAACAAAGCTTTATTGAGTAGCCTCCCCCCCCCCCCTGAATGTCTCATTTCATTCCGTTTTTTTTTCCTATAGCAGAAATGTGGAATAGGGTCAATTTTTAAATGTAAAGTAAACGAAAAGGGTACCCTTTTTCCAAAAAGTTATATTTAACTAAAGAATAGGGATTTGAACACGGGGCGAAGCCCCTCCGAACAAAGCTTTATTGATTAACCGCCCCCCCCCCCTTCTCCCTAGGGCTTTCCAAGAGTTATTAATATTGATGTGTAATCTTTACTCATACATTTTTTTGGTTTTAATTGTGGTTTATGGGCTCCTGATTGCAGACGGAGTTATCTAGCAACGCTAATTACGCTGCGAAATGGCACAAAAACGCTCAGAAATCTTACCTTTGTTTTACGATTTGCATATTTTTGTAGAGCAACAAAAAAGAAGGTTTTGTTTTTTTGAGCAACTTTTGTCAGAAAAAGCAACTTTTTACTCTTTTTTAGCTACTTTTGAGCACTTTTTGAGAAAAAAAGGCGAAACTTTTTAGGAAATCTCGAGCAACTTGTGTGCCCAGGGGGATGAAACGTACTGCCTTCTGTGTTCCACTTCCTATATTGACATATGTAACATATTGCAACCTATGCGTAGCTAAATCAGGCTTGGTACTTAATTATTTTAATATATAGATTTAGCCAGGGCTAAAAGCGAAGCTCTCGATAATGTTTATAGTTTGTTCAAAAAATATATAAAAGCGTGTAATGCTAGGCGGCGAAGGCATGCAACGCCGGAAAACGGTTTAAAAACAACAATAGGTCTAATTAGCAAAAACAACTTTGCACTTGCAGAACACTTTTTTTTGTACATTTCTTTGCCGTTGTTTTGCACGACTACAACGTGAAAGTTCCAGAAAATTCTTAGTTATACGCTTTATGGAGGAAATGTTGTACGTGTTCCCGTTCACTTTTTTTCACTGCCGCTCATTTTCACCTTGCATTAGTGGCCGCTAGCATTTCTCATTTTGTCACCGCCGCTACAAAATTTTCATGTTGTTCTTCCAACAAAAGAATGTCTCCTTTTTTTATCTCTCGCTCCAAATCAATGTTGCCCTTTTTCTCGTTGAGCTTTGCTGGCCTCCCGCCCACTTTCTCTTTTTCTCTGTCTTTCTCTTGCTCTATATTCCAAATTTGTGGACATGACAATTTATCTAAGCTTAATACTTTAGACAACACGGATACACAAACAATTTCCGCTTTCCGTTTTCGCCTTTATTGACTCTTTTGTTGTCTCTGCATTACAAGAGGCGGGTGGCTATGCGATTTCCCGCCAAAATAACCTCGAGTTGCATTTGGGTTACCATACCTGTTGATTGAGTTATTTTACATTGGTATGCCTATGGTGCGGACGGACGGTCTCTCGGTGTACGGTCACGTGATTACCAAATTTTCTCGGATGGGTAGATTACCTCATTTTCTTACTCACGGTGCTCCGCTGGCGCGCTTCGCGCGCGAGAGCTTCGCTATGAATTGAACTTTCAGATCATATCCAACGCCCAATTATCGTCTACCAGAAGCCATATAAACAAATCGGGGTAAGAGACTGTAACTGGATACCTTTTCCATAGATGGGGTTGGCTTCATCGAAATATACATCATATCCATTAAATGAGCTATTTTTAGCACAGTTTTTGCCATCTCGTGTGACTCACGGGCGCATTTTTTGCAAGAGCGTCGTGCAAAGGATTAACAAACGAAATGGCGTCGGAAATTACCTCCGTAGGAGATGAATAAATTCCATTTCTGTCATCATTGCCTCCTCTGAATTTAGGGCAAGACCTCGACAATAACTCTAAATGTGAGGACTGTGAATGCGATTCTGCTTATGTTAAACACCGTAGTGAGAATGTTTTTGAAAAATCCAGTGACGAAGAGATGTCAGAGATGTAACTTTTTTTCACGGCGACACCAGTAAGCAAAAAAGGAACCCAGTACCTGTAAACTTCCAACTGTAGGACTTCTATCGATGATCAATATGATGGAAAAAGTACCATCTGATGGAGTTAAAACGTTAGGCTGTTTAAAACAGGATCCATAATAAATGAGGGGGATCATAAGGGCTTATTACACAGGGCCGGAGAGGGAGGGGGTGGCTTATAAGTGGGGGTCGAGGGACGCCTTATAAGCGAAAGTTTACGGCATGGTTTTTGTGAGCTCCAGTGTAACGATTATTTTTCCGGGTTGAAACCTTAAGCGGCCGGAAGGAGGAGCACTAACAAAGAGGTACAAGGGCATTATTTGGAGTAACATAATCTATGACTTCTTACGACTAATAGACCCTTCTATAACCACATATCGTAAGTATATTTTTAGCTGTTAGAACATAGAATTTCCTTGTATTTTTCCCGCTTAGGCAAGACTGCAAATGTCGTGGCAATCGTAATTGATAAAATGACGCAAATCTGCTTGAATTGTATACCCAGAATTGCTACATTCTTAGCTTTTGCTCGTTGTCCCAAGTCTCCATTGCCTACATTTTCAGCTTCTTCAACCAGGAGTTCCCAACAGCCTTCCTGGGATATTGGGCTGCATTTCGTTGACATAACTGTTTATTTGTTTTGCTGTTTCGAGAAGTTTTCCTGGACTATCCGGTTTCTTCACAAAACACACTGAGACTGGTCTAAACTGTAAAAAGACCTATGACGTGTTCCCTTTGATTCAGAGAAGCTCTCTCAGTTCTCTCGCTGACAGCGTTGTCACAGGAAAAAATTAGATGTAGTGGATTTAGATCTCTCTTACATAAGTAATACTTCCTCAGAGATATATGCTGATTTATCGGTGTATTTTTGGCGGAAATGCACCAGGAATTTGAGTCGTCGAAGGAAAGATCGGAACTCGAGTTGACACTCCGACCTTTTACAAATTTTTCAACGGTCAAAAACGTGCAAGGATCCGCCTTTCCTTTACATGCGAGCCGCGGAACCGTGAAGTTTTTCAGCTGCAAACAGTACTGCAATCTGTAAGAGAATTTGCACGTTCCCTCCAAACGGGTTGCACAGGTAAAAAATTCGTCCGGATCTGTGGCGTTTATCTTGTGTGGACCGTGCAAAGAGCATTCTTAAAAAGAAGTGAGCAAGAAAAACAGTAAGGGGGTACGGAGTGAGAGCCGTAGGAACTCCTATAATCAATGGTACTTTTCAACAAAAGCTCTTTCGGGATCTTTCCGGTATACCAGATTCTGGCATGGTAAACCCTATGAATGGTTTATTTTGATAGCTCTTGTCAACATTCGAAGGTCTATTACCTAAATTGGAAATGAGAAGTGACAGCGATGAGATCATCGTTAGAAGACTTACTTTCAAAAAAGTACTTCTTCCGCTGGCTCGCTTGACCATTTTGCGGCCTAAAAAGCCTGCTCCACACGCTGTTTCAACTAGTAATTATTACAAATTTTGCAGCCAGCAATGTTAGCGCGCACGCTTAGAAACTCGTGAGATTAGCAAGTCTAGCTAGCTCGCATGAGAGCGAACTTAAGTGATTCATAGAGAGACAAAATTGAAATGTTATCTCTCACAACCACTCTTAAAAAAAGACAAGATAAATATGGTTAGCCTATATACTTTAAGGGATTGTTTAGGTCTCAGCTTTCAAGGGATGTACATTGATTTAGTTATTATAATTATTATTATTATTGTCTCTATTATCACAGTCTTTGCTGGTGTTCTTTTTGTGCATCAGCCGGGCGCAAACCATGCACTTAGAGCGTCAGTCACTCAAGTCAATCATTCTGTTCATACACTGAGCACCTTTCTAAGGATTCGTGCAGATCCCAGCATGCAGATCTTTTGAATCTCTGTCATAGTAGCTCTCTCTGATACTTTCTTGATGTTTTCTACCATACCCTTCTTCACTGTACCAAGCGCACCAACAACCACAGGGATCACTACGGTTTTCATATGCCACATTCTCTGTATTTCTAGTTCTAGGTCTTTGTACTTGCATTTTTTTTCAGTTTCCTTCAGTGCGATGTTTCTATCTGATGGAACAGTCATATCAATAAGTTTGCAGGTGGAATTCACTGAATCTTTAACGATGATATCTGGTCTGTTCGCTGTTATAGTTCTATCAGTATTGACTGGCATGTCCCACATGATGGTGATGTTGTTATCTTTATTGTGTGTCATGGTCTCTGGTTCGTGTTCGTACCATTTGTCTGTAATCTCTATATCATGATCTTTACATATGCTCCAATGGAGATACGCTGCAGCATTATTGTGCCTGGAGATGTACTCTGTTTTGGCTAATACCTCACATCCAGATACAATATGGTCCACTGTCTCTTCATGTTGCGAACACAATCTGCATTTGCTCTCCACTTGCTGGCCACATATTACTTTCTGGTAGTTTCTGGTGTTTATTGCCTGGTCTTGAGCTGCTACAAGTAATCCCTCTGTTTCTCCTGTCAAATTACTTGACAACCATTAGTTGGTGGTGACTGAGTCTACATGAGGCTTCTCTAGGATCTTTGGATACTGGCCATGCAATGCTTTGTTTTTCCACTTTTCTTCTTTCATTGAATTCATCCTGGACTTTTATTATTATTATTATTATTATTACTATTAAGTGAAGCACTGTACAAAGGTCTTTTTATGAGTATTGAATAAAGATTTTATTATTATTATTATTATTATTATTATTATTATTCATTCAATTTAGTCTCACTTAACAGGGGTGGAAATTCAGAAGAGGGCGGCCGCGACACTTGCTCATGTATAGATACTATTTATTTTACTGAAAATTCTTTAAAAAAATATAAAATTTCACAGAAAAAGGGGTGCCCGCGGTGCACTCTCGGCTAACTCCCAAATTCGCCCATGGTTAGGGTGTTCAGAACTGACGGAAAGCCAAATATTCTTACACACAAAGGTTTCGCTTAGAATTGTGTGTGAACAGAAACACCTAAATAAAAATTTACAAATATCTTTGCTGCAAGTGTGATCTTCTTTATAAGGGGTCCCTGGATAAATCCTGAGCCTGGCCTGAGCTATGTCCAGGTTGTTTTCCTCAACAGGGTCTAATTCTAATTTTCCGACGAGCATCCCCGTATTATTGATATGGGAGTCCTACCCTACAACAGCGGAGAGGAGAAAGATGAGTAGCAAGGCTCGCATAAGGTGTTCAGCACGCAGACGATTTCTGCCACAATTAGAGATAAACATGTAAATTATTCAAGTAAATCATTCTATAATTCTGTAACTGTTCATGTTGTGCGTGATGTATTAGTCCCAAAGATTGACTGCCTAGTTAGTTTGAAGAAACAAACTCGAAGCGTGATGCCCACGAGCAGTCGCCAGAGGTGAGGAGAACTCTTCAGCCCGCATCGTGGCTCGATCCAAGTAGCTCTTGGGTCTTTTAAATTAAATGAAAAATGAAAAAAAAAAAAAGTAACTAAATAAATGTACATCCCTTGAAAGCTGAGACTTACACAATCCCTTAAAGTAAAGCTAACTATTTATATTTTGTCCTTTTTCCAGGGGAGGTACTACTTGGAATTCTTGGTGGAGGTGTGCCGCTCGGTTCTCCAAATCCTAACCCTAGCCTATTTCAGGCCAAAAAATGTCGTTTTTCACACCTGTTTTAGACCTGGCCTCTAATAAATTATGTCATCATTACTTAAGAGTGGCTGTCTGTGAGGATCGAGAATCGGCGGTCAGCGACCCATTTGGCGAATCCCTGATATTTTGCCCAAAGTTAGCCTTGGGTAGACTACTTTCAAAAATCATATTCAAAAGTTCCAACGATTTTGTTTACTTGCGAAATTTGGGAAAAATTAAAAGTGAGGTCAAAATGCGGTCAAAGTGCGGTTTTTTGGTTGATCAAAAGGTGCGATGATGAACCTCCGCCGAAGTCTTAAAATGAACTCAGTTGATCTCAAAATAACAAGAATTTCAAAGCAATCAATCTTCTACACTACCAATGTTTTAATCTTTTCAAATAGGATAGTACAATGGTTTTTCAGGCCGTTTAGAAAACATCTTCGGAGACCGCTTTCGATGGCGGCAAAATGTAGCTAATATTCATCAGGATAAAAATGTTCCTGGTATGTCCGTTTTTAACAATTAAGCATTGCAGAGCTAAAATATAGGTCTTAAAGATTTACCAAGTAAAGTTTCAAGGTCGAACTCGGAACGCTTCCCTTCCAAGGAATCGAAACTCTGAGCAATGTTAACGTGCAAAAATGGCTCTGGATTTATAACAAACATCTAACATTATAGTTACAATCACTTGCGTTAAAATATCAAACTAAATTTTCCTTTGACAATTTTAAGTTTGCCGCTTATAGGAATATCCAAGAGCTCATAGGAGACACATCCAGTGCTTTGAACAGATCAGTTTGATGTAGATAGTCCACTTTGGTTATCGCAAGGTAATGTAAACAAACCTGATAAATCAGTTAAACCAGCCGCCTTTGTGCCAAACTATCCATGCATCCAGGACGTTTTGCTAGATATTTATCGTTCGCCAAGGTTTCTTGAATGAAATAGTAATTGTGTGACTTAAAAAAAACGAAGGTAGTTTGCTGGAAAGACCGTTGAAATTTTGGAAATAATTAGTTATTACCGCGACAATAATAATAACCGGCAAAGTGCCACATTATAGCTTTTGGCGGTATTTAATCATACAACGTTGCTGAAAGCCATTTTCCACTACAGGGAGAGTTTGAATCGACGTTAGTTTTCAAAATTTCAAACAGTTTTTGTTTTTAGTATCTGAAACACGTGAGGCTACATGTGTAAAGAAATCGAAACAAACGGCATTGTGTCATAAACCGTGTCGAGTCCAGTAAATGTAACGCAATCTCAGTTACCCTCTCCCTTCCACCCAGCGTGGTCTTAAAACTTAAACGAGTTAATTTTGCTCAAATTAGTATTTTTCTAAAACGAAGTATTATTTTGAGGCTCCGGTAGGAATAATAATATTTAAAAAAAACAAGAACAACAATAACTTCCCACCCGCGGGATAAACGTTTTGACCTGTTGTCACGATGGGGGTGGGGAAGGAGTACGTTTAGAAGTAAAAATTTTTCGCAGAGTATTTTTCAAAGTAAGATCTTTGTTTTAGGTCTTGCTAAACGCAGTTATAAAATGAATTTCATTACTTCATCCCGGTAGGGGAGCTTTCTTTGATATTGTTTTTTTGGTTTTGTTTTGTTTTGTCATTGACTCGCAGACTTGAGGAGCAGAGGGTAGTCCCACTTCCTGTGAAGGCTGCTCTGATCGCAATATTCTCATTACGTAAGTGGCTTTAGTTCAACCCCAAAACAGTTCTCTTCATCTTCATAGTTAAAAAAAACCTAAAAGGTACTGCTACAGCTGCGCTCGAACCCTAGGCGATACCACTCCACAGATTTCATCCTCTAAAAGGCACCAACCTAAGAGGGAGAACCTGGGAACGAGGTACAAGTAGAACCTTGGCAATTTTTTGAGGGAGTACCCCTTCTCCCCGTTTTCAACAACCCGTTTTATAAAACTGGTTGTGGCTAAAACACTTCCAGGAAGCTATTAATAAAAGAGTTACTTTCGGCATGTGCACTTTTTGGCTATTTCCTCTAAGAGTGCCAAGTATGGAGCCTTCTTGCGCACAGGCGGGACAGGTGCATCAAGGCCGAGATCCTCGCACAAGCGCTGAAGCATCGGTAGCTTGAGGACTTTCAAGTTACCACTGAGCGCCATCTCACACAGGTTGTACTGATCGTATACCAGAGGATGGTTGAGCTGAATGGTTTCAACGACCTCCTTCGCTGCACTAAAGTTAGCTTCCTCTTGAGATGCCCGGATATCGGCTTCATCTGCTGGGTCCTTTTGCCGTAGTGTAGCGCTTTGCCTTGAGAAGAAGGACGCAATCTGCAAGCTGGTTAGGAATTCTGAGAACTGGAAAAGTCGCACACCATCTGCTCCACGGGCGCGTCTCATTTCCCTCGCCACAACCTCGGCGTCAAGCTTACGGCCCGTTGTTTGACCGATAGAGAATTTCGCCAGTAAGTAAGACTTTTGCTTTTCGCTGGATCTATACGCCTTCTTTGCTGCTCTGAGGGCCCATCCCTCATTTGGTACAAAGTGACCCTCCTGGTGAGCAACTGGGGCTTTAAGAGAGGGCAATATGCCAACACCTTCTTCCAAATGGGTCTTGTATCCCATTTTCGCTAAATCCATTAGAGAATATTTCTCCGGGGATCGGGAACATTTTTCTACAGACAGATGTTTCTCTAAAGCAGACACTCTTTGGAACACACGAACGCAGCCGTCTTGAGGACAGGAATAAACCCCTTTGGACAGGTCACTGTCTTCCGAAATGCCACGAGATGGCTCGGCCACAGTTGCTGATGTTGAAGCTGTCTGTCCAATCTGTTTTTCAGATTTACATCGGAAGGAAGTAAAATCTCCTTCGGAGAATGATTTCTGAAGTACTTGGTATCGAGGACCTTGGGTAAATAAATTAATACCAATAAAAAGTTGTTTTCTGATTTCTTTTTCAAATAATTTATAAGTTTTTAAAGCAAACATGACAGAAATAAACGTATGTTTCCAATACATGGGTATTCATAGCTCGGTTAGTAGAGCGCTGCCGAGCTAACGTACGTAGAAGTTATGGGTTTTCCCGTTTAAGCCACCAAAAAAATTGAACAAAATGGTAATTCTTTAAATTGCTCTTACAACTGCGATAATCATTTCTTCATTTATCAGAACCAAGAATATTGCGCGGGACTCCAAAGGTATCTGATACATGTACTTGCAGATAATTATTGTATGGTAAGGGTCCCCAATAAAGTAAGGGTCTTACACTTTTGAGTTGCATTTTAATACAGAACTTAAATTTAGCGGCAACTCATACATTAATTCTCAGTAGCTCACTTTTAGTTTTAATTCCCATACTTACTTGATGAAGATCCTGGATTGATGATTTTTCCGCGACCAACACAATACGCACGCCAACAGGTAACAGACTCTGTAGAGCTAAACTCAAAATTGTTCAGTTTTGTAATGCCAGTAATAGTTTGCCCACTGTCAGGTGTTTCGATGATCGTATCAAGGGAAACAACTCTTACACCTTTCATTCCACCATGCGATAATAATTTTTCTTTAAGCTCATCGGCAGTGCAAACATCATCACGCGCACCGTCTGC